AGAATAGAATAGAATAGAATAGATTAGAATAGAATAGAATAGAATAGAATAGAATAGAATAGATGAGAAAAGAATAGAATAGAATAGAATAGGAAAGATAATTTTTAGGAAGACCTTAAATCACGGCAATTTTGCAATAACCCAAATTGACCGCATCGTTTAATGCAACAGCCAGCAGCCGACCATCATCACTGCAAAACGGACAAAACGTGATTTGAAATGGCAGTTTTTAAACTGAAGAAAACAATTAACTGATAACTTCCAAATTACTACATTGAATCGGGCTACTGATAAACGACCAACATATTAACAAAACTACTTTGAATAGAGAAAAATCCATCTATACTTCAGAATGGCTAACGTTAAGATGGAATCAGTAAAAAGGCAGATGCCTCTCAGCTTTGCGAGAAAGGTATTTTAATTTAATTCTCCGGTCCTCTTTCATACACCTACAAAAAAACCAGTGCGTTGCTAACGGACACAACATAATGCCGGAGCCCAGCCTTGTGCCTCTTGATACGGATTCCAGCCCGCTAACCATTACATTGTCATTGCACCTCCCTTTATAATGACACCATGAAGAACAACAAAACGGTATTGTCTTTTTTCGTTGTTTCAGTCGATGGTGGGTGGACGAAATGGACTCCGTGGTCATCATGTAGTGTCACATGCGGAGATGGAACACAGTCGAGAACGCGGCAATGTACCAACCCACCGCCGTCCAACAGCGGAGCAGGATGTGCAGGCGATAACTCAGAGAATAAAGCTTGTAATTTAGGAGCCTGTTCAGGTAAGACAGATTATATAATTAGAAGCCTTTTCCACTGTATTTATTTCCCGTGAAATTAATTAAGTCGCTGACCTGATATCGCCAGTACTTCCAAGTCACGCTCTAGAAATATATCAGGCTTGTTTGATCGTGAGATGGTGTGTTCTTTGGCTCCAACTTTACGTCGGCCACCACGTCGGCACCGAGCCTCTCAAAATATTGACCCTGCAATAAACAACAAAACGTTAGTGTCTTTTCGTTGTTTCCGGCAGTGGATGGTGGATGGACAGACTGGACTCCGTGGTCATCGTGTAGTGCCACATGCGGAGATGGGACACAGTCGAGAGCGCGGCAATGTACCAATCCACCGCCTTCCCACAGCGGAGCAGGATGTGCGGGAGACCCCTCAGTGGTCAGATTCTGCAATTTAGGAGCCTGTCCAGGTAAGCGAGATTACAATCAGAGGTATTCTATACATTTCTCGCTATCAAAGACTTCAACTCGCGATGACCTGAGATTTCTATCGGGTTATAGTTCGCTCGAGTAAACTACCACGCATCAAAATCTCGGGCTCATAATCAAATTGTTTTAGTAAAAATCTACTAGTCGTTCAAATTAAACTTTATTTTAGTCCTTTTTAAAGGCGCTTTCAAAGCCCAGAGGCGGCCATCACTTAAACTAAAGTTGTTTTTAGTTTGTGATGCTAACCTTTGTGGTTTGTTTTCTTTGCTCTTCTCTCCCAGTTGATGGCGGTTTCTCTCAATGGACTCCATGGAGAGCATGTAGCAAATCTTGTGGAGGAGGAACATCAGTCAGGACTCGTAAGTGTGATAGTCCGCCTCCGTCCCCTGGTGGCAAACAATGTACTGGCAAGACATTGGAATCTAAAGACTGCAACACCCACGTCTGCCCAGGTGAGGTTTTTTATGGTGACTCGCAACAATTTCTCATAAGTTTCACCGCTTTTGCTTCGATAGTTTAATTAATACTGCCACTCTGTCTGTTGACACTACAGTAATACAGTCAAACAAATGCCCGACCACTGGTTAATGTTAACTGTTTCTTTCTTTTTTTTTTCCCTTCTTCTTCTTCTTTTTGTACTTGTCAAGTGGATGGTAGCTGGTCGAGATGGGCCGACTGGACAGTGTGTGACAAGACTTGCGGGGGTGGCAAACAATCCCGAACTCGTCTTTGTGACAGTCCAGCCCCTTCCAATGGCGGAAAACCATGTCCTGGGTCCAGTACGGAAAACCGTGTATGTAATGACTTCTCCTGTCCAGGTAAAAAAAAAAAAACTTGCTTTTCCTGATTTTATCGCGACAGTCGAATGATTGGAATATCTTAAAATGGCAAGCGAACGATTCCGTCCGCTGAGGGGTCATGCACTTTGTACCACTTCATCAATTTAGGCGTCAATAGATAATCTTGATAAGCAGATAATAGAGCTAGGATAGATCTATCCGCACACCTGTCCGTTTTGGATATCAACCGCATTTTAAGGTAAAAAGTGAAGCCTTGGAGCCGAATGGCTCATAGCTGCCAGAGCTTATTCCGGTTTCTGTAGCATGAAGCGGCTAGGAGTATTTCTACTCCCTTTGGACGGGATGCTAGTCCATCGCAAGTGACTCCCCCGCAATTTGTTAGGTTTCCCCAACAGTTCGCCGTTACCCATTTACACTCCAGGGTGGAGAGTGGCTCTGTGAGAGTTAATTGTCTTGCCTAAGAACACAACACAGTGTCCCCGGTCAGGGCTCGAACCCGGACCGCTCGCCCCGGGAACGAGGGCACTAACCATGAGGCCACTGCGCCTCTCACGTATTCTGACGTACCTAACTGAAAAACACGTGAGCAGTTTTTGGTTCAAAATTGGTGGTAAAATGGCTCGTTATACCTAAATTCGATCAAGGTTCCATTTCCAGACTTTAAACGTAATCAACAACGAACATCTTACGGCTGGCAGAAAGGATATGAAGAGCAAAAGCTAGCAAGAGTAAAAGGGGCGAGAAAAAGGAAAGAAAGAGGGCAAGGGAAAAAAAATCGGATCAGGAATACCTAATCCTCAAGAAAATCTTGCTACTCGGTAAGAAATCGCTTTTTCAGCGAAGTTGAGGCAATTCAGGGTCGTGGCAGCTAACACCGATTAAACGGTAAAAAAAACAGGGCTTTTTTGGGTAAATTTGCCAATTAAAGGGTTAAGTAGGTTCACAGCGTAAACATTTTTTATGTAACGATTACGTTTGCTCCCATTGACCCCTTGACACAATGCTCGGAAGTGGTCAGTCGGGGCGACACGCGTAAACCGAGCTTGACAATCGGCGCGAAGAAAGTCAGCGATAATAGCGTAACTGCCCCTAAGCACAGAATGTCTTATCGCAATTGTTCCAAAACCATTTCAGAATCCTGGACTCTGATTGCGTACAAACTTTGTGTCGTTGTACTTCTTGCGCTTAATTCTTTGTCTCTGATCGCGCCACTTTCGAGCGTTCTTACACGAAGCTGTTTTTTTAATTCAATCGCTAAATCTGTGTGTCTACAACGGAAGTTGGTCGAGGAAAGAGTCAGATAATGATGACAAAGTGCCCGAGAGGTACATGATAAACCTTAGCCTGACCGCAAAAAAAAAAATGTTATAAAAACGAGCCTGCGTTCTAAAACGGAGTTACATTTTTGTCTCTTTCCTTACGATTTCCCAACTCGGTGAGGTTAGTAAACACCAACGGAGGAAAAATAGGCGAAAGACGAACTAGCGTAGCTACGATTGGCGAAAATTAACATGGGTTACAGGCAGCAATTTAAAAGACTAACTTACAAAATGGTCTCTCCTTGAACGTCTGGTAGTTGAGACAAGCTAAGAGATTGCAGTTTGAACTTTGTCTCAGCACTATTTTTGTTTTGTTTCTTTGTTTTCTACTTTTAATGATGTTGTTTTCCATGTAGTTGACGGCAAGTGGTCGCAATGGACCACTTTTCCGTGTAGTGTTACTTGTGGGAAAGGAAAACAAAACCGCACACGAACTTGTACCGACCCACCCCCCTCGGGTAGTGGAGATGATTGTGTGGGTGATGACATGGAAACGATAGATTGTAACAAAGAAACTTGTACAAGTATGTTACTCTAATGTTGATTTTGATGTTGATTTTTGCCATAAATAACGTCAATCAATTAATTGTTACTACAAAAACCTCCATATGAAACAGGAAAAAGAGCATTTCATAGCAGTAAAAAAAGTCGGGATTGAGTGATGTATAGGCTACAATGAAGAAATTTACCTATCCCCTCTGTTGGCTATGTTTATAATCTTTCCGCTACGCTAAATAGAAGCTTCTTTAATTGGTTGACCTTCTGGTTAGTACCGAAAGATGGAGATCTAATATCATTCGATCATTGCATCGTGTCAGTTGGGCAAGACACTTTATTCTCCACCTAGAAATATAAATGGGTGAAACTGTGACAGTGTATTGGGCGTAGTTGATGGAACTACTCCCATCAATTCAAGGCGGTTTAACAACTCTTAGGGTCCCTTCATGCTGCAGATACTGACATCAAGAATCGGCGCTAAAGAGCAATCCTGCTCCTTCAAAGACTGGTCCGGATCACGATCGCCGACCTTTGAAAAAAAAATAGGGGTGCAATCTATTAATGTTGCAGGAATTAAGAAGAGCTGTAATATTGCAGTATAAATACTTGTACTGGTTTTCGCGTTTCTCGAACTCACCACCCTCTCCTCTCTACAGTTGATGGTGAATGGTCTCAATGGACAATGCTCCCGTGCAATACCGCTTGTGGACCAGGACAACGAAATAGAACAAGAACCTGCAACAAACCATCCCCCTCGGGCGGCGGAGCTGACTGCACAGGAGTCGCCTTGGAAACTGTAGATTGTAACAATGGACCCTGCGTAGGCAAGTTGTCTCAATTGCGATTTGATACACGTCCTTTGTCATAACTGATCTCCTTTCACCATGTGAAGTGTTATATTAGTAACTCTTCACTCAGAAAACTTTATTTTCTGTTCTCTTTATCCTTCTTTTTAGATCCCGATATACCAAAAATCGACCTAGTGTTTGCCCTGAGTGCGACATCGGGGAACTCGGTGCAATCCTATGAGCTTATGAAAAGTACAATCAAGACATTCATTAACACATATGGCGTCAACAAAGTACATTACAGTATCATCGTGTATGGAGCCTCTGTTATCAGGGTAGTTAATTTCAACAAGACCTTCCCCATTAGTGCTAGTGACCTCAAGGCGGCTATTGATAGGCAACCCGCCCTTACCGGCGGACCGTTCCTTAAGGGTGCATTGCAAGAAGCTTTTAGAGTCTTCGAAGAAACAGTGGGACGTCCTGGTGCCAAAAAAGTATTGGTAGTTATCACGGACAAAAATTCTGGTGCTCGTCCGAATACTTTGGCCACAGCGGTAAGACCGCTGGAAGATAAAGGAGTTCTGGTGATTTCTGTTGGGATAGGGGAAGCTGTGGAACGAAGTGAACTAAACGTTATTTCGCCTAATCCCATGGATGTTATATCTGCACGATTGAATGTCAACCCGTCAGTACTGGCTGAAAGGATTATGGACAGGATCCTGAAACGTAAGGCTGAACTTTGATACTACTGTCTTATTTTAAGATTTCCATCTTATGAAAATTCTATAACTCGTTTACTGCTTGTATAATCAAAGAAATATCTGTCAAGTAAATAATGCTCGGTCTGTCCATTTGACTTTTCCAGATTTGACTGTCTAGTCGGTCTGTCTGTCTGTCTTTCTGTCTGTCTGTCAATCTATCTGTCTAACTTGTGTCTACTGCTCTGCTCTTCAGCTGTTTGGATACTAAATGTTGAGCTATCCGCTTTAATGCTATCTTAAGTAAGATCAGCTCAACTGCCAAATTCCTACTAAGCTTTGTAGATAGAGAAATGTAAAGGTTAATCTATGTCAAAATTGGATTCAAAACTATAAAAAGTAAGATAACAGTACAATCCCAATAACATTGACATTTTCTGTTTAAATCCCAGGCAATATTCCACTCGTTGACGTCGGCTTCGCCATAAGTGCAGCCTCAATCGATTCTGACTACATTTTTACTCTGATGAAGCGAATAATCAATACCATTATCGATCGGTATGGCGTACTGAAAGTCAGGTTCAGCGTCATCGTTTACGGTAGTAAAGTCACCACAAGGTTTACATTTGACAACCCAAAGTTCACTCAAGAAGATCTTATAAGAGCCGTGAATAACACCGCCAACGTGCCTGGAACTCCAGACCTGGAGAAAGCGCTAAAGGAGGCCGAAACACTGTTCAGAAAGACGTCCAGGCCAAATGCCACCAAAACATTTGTTGTGTTGTCGGATGTTGTAGCACGCGGAAACGATAATGCACTGATTGCCCTCGCTGCTAGGTTAAGAAAAAGTGGTGTCCTTATTTTGTCGGTGGGATTTGGAGCTAAAGTCGATCAGATTGGTAATCAGATGAGTAAAGTGGTCATCACCAGGAGTGATTATATTGGAATTCCAGACTTTATCACCAAGAGACCCGTGGTTGTAGCGGAGACAATCATGTTTAAGGCGCTTCAAGGTAAGTGGCTTTCTGCTGGTGATGATACGAGTAATGGGTCGGTGCTAGTGATTCTATGAGCAATAAGCCATGTACTTTAATTGCATCCTCCAAACTATACGAGTAACAAAGTTCTTACGATTCACCTGGTTGGATGAAACTCCACGGTATGGCACCAAATACAGAAAATAATTATAGCAAGTTTGCTGTGTGGTTAACACATACTTATCTTTACTCTGCTTCATTACGTCTTTTTTTTTTTTTCGTGTCTCTCAAAGTTCCCACCCAAGATTGTTCCATGAAGTACCGATAATTTTGCAAAAGATGCGTTGGTATAGCTAGACTTGATAACAGTAGACTCTACGTTCCGCGATGTGAGTTCGATCACAAAACCAGGGGTTAGGAGGTCACTGCATCCATAATGTGTTATCAGCCAAGATAAGCAATTTACCTCATGTGGACCCTGATATAAAACGTGATACCTGAGATGGACAGGCCTCGTATCCACAACATATACCCTGTTTTCCTAGATGCTTCATGCCACCAATTTTGGAGTTGGACCCCAATTTGATGATCCACACAATGCTCGAAAACACACCTTACTTACATCAATTACTAAAAACCACTTGTGTTTTTCTCTGATTCAGCTAACATTCCAGAAATCGACCTGACCTTTGCCCTCAGCGCTACTTCTGTTTCTTCGGAAAGAACCTTCAACTTAATGAAGTCGACAGTAAACAGAATCATCCAGCAGTACGGCATTACCCGAATCCACTACAGCGTCATTGTCTTTGGATCCTCGCCAACAACGCACTTTGATTTCTCAAGAACCTTCCCAAACAAAGACGACTTGATTCGCGTAATAAGCAACCTCCCAAAGAAATCTGGCGATCCTGACCTGGCCAAAGCGCTGGAAAGCGTATCGAAAGTGTACGAGTTGAAGCAGGTGCGGCCCAACGCCAAAAAAGTTGTGGTAGTGATTTTGGACAAAAAAACTGTCAATACAGCTAAGGAGTTGAATAAGAACGCCGTCTTCCTTGTAGACAAAGGTGTTTTGGCCATATGTGTTGGCGTTGGAAGCTCGACTGATTCCAAAGAATTACAAATAATCACGGAGGAAAAGCGAAATATTATTGAGGTGGGAATTGCCAAAGACCCAAATGAACTAGCAAAGGAGATCATGGCTATCATTTTAAGAAGTAAGTTGGTTTTCTTTAACACTTAATAATTTTGTAAAGGAGTAGTCAAGGAGCATAAACTTCATTTCACCAGATTGCTTTGCATTTCTTTACGTCGAACAGTAGCATATCAGCAATAACTATCAAGAGAAGTACATTTCAAGCAGCATAAGTTAGGTTAACGTACGTACCCTCAATGGATAATAGAGAAAGTGTATGCTTTCAATTGTCAGGTGTTTCATAACAAGCTCTAACCAATAATCTCCTAAACAATTGGTCAGCGAAAGGGAAGAGTAAGAACTTTAAGAACGTGACAGGATTGAGATTCAGAAGTCGCTCTCGCAGTGTTCTCTTTAGGTTCCGTACAAAATAGTTTACCTAACTTAGTCGTACAGTCACGTAATATTAAGGATAAAAGGAAGGCCAACGCTTAGTCTATGAAGGCAATAACTTAAGCCTACTGTGCTATATAATAATATAAATAATGCAATAAATATAAGACAGATACTGAAACAACACAAGAAAACGGCGTCCCAAAACGTTTGCGCAGCCCTTATTTGGGGAACACTTAAATGAATTAGTCCTAAGTTTCCTTAGAAACCCTAAAAAATGAAGGAGGAAACCAACTACAGACGTCAATATTTTTTAAATCCTCTACAGCTTCCGGTTATGGGCAGTGGGCACAGTGGAGCACATGTTCAAAAACATGCCGCTATCTTGGAGTGGCGGGAACTAGAAGACGTACACGCATTTGTGAAATTCCAGAACTGGGATGCGATGGTCCCGAGCTGGAAGTAAGAGAATGCAACACGGAAGACTGTCAAGGTGGGTAACCTCATTCTCAAAAGTAAACTACGACGAGCCCTTTGTTCTGGTCAGCTTTTAAAAATGTGATGGAGGTATTCTTTCATTCAGGTAAAGGAGAATAAACAAATAAACACTTTGTGATCTTTAATTACGTTAAAGTTCCTTCTTAAACTGATAATAAAGTATGTGAAAATCAAACAGACGTGGTATTAAAAGCTGCAATTTAGGTAAAACTACTGATAAGTAACGATATTGTTTCTATCATAGTTCTGGTAGACTAAAAAGTTTCCTTTACTACCATTAGTGTGAAAAAACGGTCGATTTTCGTTACCTCTGACAGCCCAACAAAATCACTTAACCGGGGCAGTCACGCATCGAATGTTTGGGTTCCCTGCTTCTCGTACCTATAAGGGAACACGTGACCCAGACAGCGTGTATGGAGTTCTTCTCTCTCATCATTGTTTCTTTTTGTAGGATGCCAGGAAAGAGTCCCACTCAACGACACAAACTACAGTGCTTCGTCTGCAATCCAACCAGCAAGGTTTGCACGACTGGACACCTCCAACCCCGGTTCATCCCGGCGGGCCTGGTGTGCTAGCCCACGAGTTGCCGGCAGATATCTGCAAATTGACTTAGGTAGGCATGGGCAGTTTAAGGTGGCTCGATCGCATTTTTGACTAACGATACCGTTCAACTTTGAGCGACTAGAGCACCGCCATTATCAATCCAACGGAAAATCGAACGTCACTAGTGTTCTAGAGAAAGATGAAAGTTTCAAATAGGGTACATTTCACCAAGATCTAAGTTACCATAGCAACGAAATGACGCCATACCCCATTTTACATAAGACCGAATAACTTGCCACCAGGGATAATTTGGGAAATACGACTTCGAGATCTCGGACTTGACATAGCTGTCTTAACGATGACAAAATTTTAAAAAAATCTTTAAGAGCGTTTTCGAGAAAATTACGAGTGAAGTTTCAAGGCGTCAAAATACAACAAAAACAAAACTGTTTTAAATGTTATCGCAAACTATGTCCACAAGTCTTGACTAAATGATATCCTAGTCTTAAATGAATCTTATAACGTCTAATTACCTCGAGTGAAAATCTCGGAGAAATCGTTCCGTTTGACTTTCAGAAACATTGGCTTGAATACCAACTGGTATAGGCTGTTATTTTGCTTTTTATCAAAAACTGCCCCTAAAATTCTTAAATTGGGCGGGAATTAAAAACCAGTCGATGATTTTGTTTTAGACTTGGCCCTCAATGAGATTAATCCATATTCAACGTAGTACCAGAGTTTCAGATAATTTGAAACGCGCGATTGCTTTCCGGTGATTTTCCGAAGCATGCTAAAATTTGTCGAGCTAGCACTACAATAACAATAAAATATACGTCTTGTAAAACGTAAACAAGACTTACAGCATAGTGATTTCCAGCTTGCGCTCACCGCTTACCCTCGGCGTGGCTGCGTTAACGCGAGATGAGTGAAAGTGTGACATATATTTTGTTGTTATTGTAGTGCTAACTCGACAAATTTTAGCACGCCACGGGAAAGTCGCCGGAAAGGAATCGCGCGTTTTAGGAATTCATGATATACAGAAATGTGCAATAGCATGGTGATTCGAAACAAAAGAAAATTATAATGAAGACAACAAACAACAAGAGTGAAAATCATCGCCGTATTTTCCTGAGTTGACGCTGAAAGTTAGCAACCTTAAAATGTTTCAATTTATCTGAAACTCCGGTATTACGTTGAATATGGATTAATTTCATTGAAGGCCAAGTCTAAAAAAAAAAATTCATCGACTGGTTTTTAATTCCCGCCCAATTTAAGAATTTTAGGGGCAGTTTTTGATAAAGAGCAAAATAACAGCCTATACTAGTTGATATTCAAGCCAATGTTTCTGAAAGTCAAACGGAGCGATTTCTCCGAGATTTTCACTCGAGGTAATTAGACGTTATAAGATTCATTTAAGACTAGGATATCATTTAGTCAAGTCTTGTGAACATAGTTTGCAATAACATTTAAAACAGTTTTGTTTTTGTTGTATTTTGACGCCTTGAAACTTCACTCGTAATTTTCTCGAAAACGCTCTTAAAGATTTTTTTAAATTTTTGTCATCGTTAAGACAACTATGTCAAGTCCGAGATCGCGACGTCGTATTTCCCAAATTATCCCTGGTGGCAAGTTATTCGGTCTTATGTAAAATGGGGTATGGCGCTATTTCGTTGCTATGGTAACTTAGATCTTGGTGAAATGTACCTTATTTGAAACTTTCATCTTTCTCTAGAACACTAGTGACGTTCGATTTTCCGTTGGATTGATAATGGTGGTGCTCTAGTCGCTCAAAGTTGAACGGTATCGTTAATCAAAAATCCGATCGAGCCACCTTAATACTTAATTGTTGTCTTAGGTTTTGTTATTACCTTGATGCCTCTTTATACGAGAAGGGGAATCAGAGAAAATATACATTTCGACGAGTCGAGAATAGGCAAATCATGCCTTATGATGCTGTTCGATACCCAGGCACTCCACCTCAAGCAAACAACCTCTTCCACCTCCTCTGATCTGACCTACAATAGTTCTATTTTAAAGATTTGAAATAGTCACTAAACAGGGATAAGGATATTATCAGGATTTCCTTTAATATGTTAGAAGTAAATCCAACAAGTTTGCTAAATTACATGGAATAATCATAAGCAATGCTGTTATTATACCAATACAGGAGAAACAGTGGAAGTTTACCAAGTCGCCACCAAAGGTCAGGAGGAAAGTAATCCAAGTTGGGTTACAAGCTATGTCCTGTCGATCAGTGAGGATGGCTCATCCTTCGTCAACTACACGCAAGGTGGACAAACTAGGGTACGTCGCGTAAGGCAATACCTGAGCTCTATACTAAGATTTTCCAAGTCTAAAGTTGAACCATGAGACAAGCAGTTCCACATAGAATTTCTACTCTGTAACTGTCGTTACAAACCAGCGTTTGACCCACTGAGTTTAAAGTTTCAAATCAGCACCGTGACACCATCCACAGCGCAATATACCGTACCAGAGTAGTCCTCGATATAACTCCTTTAAATGGTCACCAAAACGTTTCGTATAGACTTCAAAATTGATACCAACCAATGGGCATTGGAATTAATTTCGCGCTTAACTATTTCTTAAATTCACATGTTGTTTTAGTTACTCCACAGACACTCATTTACACTTATTTTTATCCGCCTTTCATGTATTGTCATTATGTTTTACTCTTATTTTAAACATCGTGACCTTTTGTTCCCAACTTCGCGAAAATTTCCAGCCCTAAACGGAACACTGGATCAAATTAATGAATAAGAAAGAAACATTCTCAGTTGTTTGATCAACCTTCAATCTTGACTAAAGCTTTTTTAACTGATAAGATACGTTTTCTAAGTAACCAGTTAAACTTAAACGATAGGAATCAGTGTGACCAGGCAATCTATTACTCACAACAAAAGCTAAGACAATCTTTGGGAGGAGAGATTTTGGTTTAATCGGTTACACTATGCCAGGCTGAGTGTTAGTATTGCCGTAGTTTTGTCAAAATTCACAAATAGGTGCTTCTTTTATTTGTGAGTAACAGTTCATTTGGAGAGCACTGTTACTGAAAACTGATAAAAAAAATACTGTCTTGGAACCTTTCAGGTATTTTCTGGCAACAAAGATTCAAGTTCTGTTGTTTTTAACAAATTAAACGCTACCACACCTATTCAGTATGTCCGATTCTATCCCATCTCATTCAACGAACAGCCTTGCCTGCAAGCATCGGTATTTGGTTGTTCTGCAGGTGAGTAAAAATCAATATTTCTGCATGAAGAAAGATGAACTTATTAACTCGCTGGGGTGACGCAAGGTTCATTCGAAATGACCAAAATCCAGACATGTTCTTGTTCGGCGCAACATATCTCAGATAATAAGTATTTAATCAGACCGAGTTCATTGCGCTTGATTTTGTTAAAAAGTTCTCAAATTATCCAGGTGTATTTGATTGATTGCTAAATGAGATTTTTCCATGTGTGGATCCGGATGATCTTTCCCTAAGGGTTTGTCCCATTCCGTGCTGTCCTACACAAGGCATATAGGCGTGTCGTCGTTTTCTTTAGGACTCCTGCCGTAGGATTGACTGCAGACTAAAAAATAGGTAGCGCTAGATGCCATTTTCATGTTTTTTCTGTATTTATTTTCTTTCCAAGTTATCATACCACCCACGGAAGGCTTTGCAGCTGACGATGATGACGCGGGGCAGGGAATTTGTGAGTATAATGTAGTATTTAACAATTAGATGATTTCTATGAAGTGATACCCGATAAGATCGAAGGCCGAATCAGCTATCACCCCATAGAAATCGAGAGCAAATAACCTAATTGTTTTGGTACAATTCTTACCTAAATTTTCTTCAGCTAACAGTCTCCAATTGTTTTTGTACATTGTATTCACTTTGCGCTCCAGAAAAATCGCGCGGACCGAATTGTCGTTTGGAATTTCCTGTTGTGTTCGCGCTCATCAGTTTTTTCAACATTTTCTAGTATTTTAAAGACACGAAACAGTTCATGTCCTTCATTTAGTCTTTTCAGAAAATTAATTATCCATTTGTATCAAAATGTTTTTCCGTAACTTCGTAAAGACGAGAAAACATCGCTATTTGGCATACGACCTCCAGCCACTGCTCACCAACGGCTCATAGTATATGAGTAGCTCGGCCAATCAGAATGCAGCATTTTCATTAGTATACCGATAGAGTTCCACTGAAAAAGATTATTATATTATGCTGTTTGCCTTTCTTACATTATCTTTGATGTCCAATCGTTGTGAGAATTTCCACTGATTGGGTTATTCCGTGGTAAGTTGTGGAATTTTCTATATTGTTTTGAAGCATTTTGCCCAGAGACAACCTTAAGTAATAAAATTGTATTTGACAAAATCCAGGTGACAATACCATCAATTCCAATCAAATCATCACTCAGCGTGCCGTCTGACGCAATCCGCGCGAAGTTATTTTCTGATGATTAGTACATTTATACATACTTCACGCACCCTGGAATGCAATCCATTTCAAACTCAACTCTTAAATCGCAACTTTGACATTGACATAAGCGACCTCAGCCTTGAGAATGATGCTTGATGCATCGAAAGGTCGATTGACATTAGTTTTGATCTCTCTTGTCAAGTACTTTAACAATCAACTCATTCTGCGATCTCATTAAACTCTTGTACAACCAAAGCGTTCCCACAATGATATACAATGTAGGTCACTTTATGTAGTTTCAACAATGCTAGACTAGTTAGCCTCTCATGTTGTTGAACACTATTTTGGATTTTCCATCTTTATCATCACTTCAAGTTGTCCAGTGGTTACATCATCTCTCATTCAATGCCATGTTCTGTGATGAAATTCAAACTAGGAATTTTGTCTGTTTAGTCACGGAGATATTACATTACTAACTCGTTTTACCATGTGTATGCAATTCCTTACCCATTGCATTTTTAGAAGCACGGTCACCTTACAAGTGTTCGGGTCGCAATCGTGGGTGCCACACCAAACAAAAAATACAATATATTAGAGGCCACTTGCAGACTTTTCGTTGCATATGATGTGGATGATTTAGTTACAAACATGATGATGATGTGACGTGATTTCTTTTTTTTCAGTGATTGCTTTGTGGATATTAGCTGGAATCCTTACTTTTCTCCTTCTTCTGGCCTGTTTGTATTATTGCTGTTGGCACGTTTGCTGCAACAAGTAAGGCGATAATGGGGTTTAGTTGACTTTCACGACAAATGAATGGAGAAGCAAAAGGCTCCGGGCCCCTAGTTGTCCAAACTACATGTACAATGTGGTTCTCTGTAATCTTTGTTTCAAATATACCAAGATTATTTCTTGATATCAGATATTTTAGCCAGCCAAGTCCCAGTACCAGAAGGGAACCAACCTGAAATTCAACCCAGTCTCCTTTTGACATTTGCATAATGCCTCTGTAGTACAAATCATGAAGATAAAGTTTTCCAACAAAATGTCTAAGGATTGCTTTGCACAGCCGAACTTAAATGTGTTTTAAAAGAAGATCAAATCCTAATGTGACATTTTTATGGTTGTTTCCTCCAATAGCCGTAAAGTTTCGTTATACGTGACCAAACGTACGCCTTAGTAAACCTGGATTAAAGAAATAGAATGCGATTGTACTAGCGTAAAGGTGTTAAACTTAAGACACATAGGATTCACTCTAACAATCACAACAACAGTGTTTCCTGACTCTGTTTCCTCATATCTTTTCTCTGTTCGCCAGAGGAAAAAAGAGAAAGGGTCTGGCTGCCTTCAAAGACACGTCCTCCGAGGATGGTTACCTTATTGAAGAAGACGGCAATAAAGCGTGGAGGCTGCCAGCCGCTGCTATGGCACCAACAGTGCCCAGAGTCAAGACTCCTGAAGATGAAGTCCAAGAGGTGTCCATAGAGATGACAGAGGACGTGAAGCCTTTAGGTACAATGCTGCTAATTACGTTTTCTAGTGTGTGTCTTGTATTCGAATGGCATGCATGTACTATCATACGATCAACTGAAGTCATCTCATCACGTTTTTTCCTACTCTGTTTAAGTCGCTGATTTAGGGGAACAGCCGATATAGGGAAGCAGTGGAAATAGGGCAGCGGGGTCACCTGACGTCTCAGGTTCTGAGAAAAAAGCTCCCAGGGTAAAGGGTACCTCCGTCAATCCGATCCCCTCCAGACCCCTTCCTTGAAAGTTTGGGTCCACCACTATATTCTAGTCATTACAACTTTGGCAATTCCCAATTCGCCCCATGAGACGCGTCTGCGGGGAATCATCTTGGACTGGAAATTTGTTTTGATGAACACAACTACCATGATACCCTGCGGGCGCTTCTCAGAGCGGGAACTGGCCATTGAATCTTTTTCAATCGTTTCCTGTACACCTGAGCAAAGTTGAATGTACTTATTTCTCTTCATGCGACTGTCTTAGGAGTCATCCAATTCGGCATCGAGACTGACGAAACCAAAGATAAGCACGTGACCGCCGAAGAAGTTCACTCGGAGACACCAAAGTATTCTCAAGAGGTCGCACAGATCAAAAGTGGCGCGGAAATGATGACAATGAGTTCCACGGATACAGGGTACAGGTCTACTGAGAGGAGACGTCACAAGAGTGAAACTGCTGCATCGATAGGCGATGCTGGCGCTACCTCTGCAGAATGGTCGTACCGAACAGAACAGAAACAAAGTTCTGCCTTTGATAATGGAGCTTACATGAGGTACCATTAAAGGCATTCAAGACCATCTAAAGTTATTATTATTCCCTTTACAACTCGGACGGTCTTGAAGAAGTCATGGCAAATAAACGTCAGTTTGGTCATTTCGAAGCGACGTCAAATTTTCGAGCTTTTTTTTTTTAAGTTTTCAGTTGTTTCATCCAAACCTCGATATTTTAAGCGAGAAAAAACACACACGAACTGCTCTAAGTACGGGCTTAATATTTTCATTTCGAGAAAAGAGTAACAGTAATCACAGTATCTTAATGCTAATGGCTAGCACTGGGAGGAAAATATATTCCAATGTTATCTTTAGATATCACCAAATTCCCTGAAATCACAATTAAGACGTGTTTAATGGAAATCACCTGAGATAATTATTTTGACAATCAGCAAAAAGGATGCAATGCCAATCAACCAAAATACTTCACATCTCGTTGGGACTAAAATATACGGAACTGTGTTGTTGTACCTGAAACATGAGTGACTGCGTTCTGTACTTCGTGTAAATATATTAGCGGTGTCTTAATCCATCAGCTAGGCTATACGCGGAGCAAAATGTTAACGTTTTTATCTGGTTCGCTTCCTTCAGATCTCAAGAATTTGTAACGGAGCAATCAGAGCCTTCACAAACTCGTGCACGAAGGCAGGAATTAAAACGCTCTCAAAGCGCGGATGAACTTTCCACCTCCAACTATGCCATGTTTGAACAACGGCGTGGGTCATCTCAGCAAGTCGTAAGAGGAGAGATGGGTCGTGACGGCTACATGAGAATGAAGGAAACAAGCCAGGAATCTGTTGACGTGACCGACGGGAGATTTCAGATGGGAACCATCGACGTGGCCATTGGAGGAATCGGGACACCGGATACCCGTCGGGGATCTAGCCAACTCTACGGAATGGAGGAACAGGAAATGTCTTTCTCGGCTGACAACGGGGGACGTAACGTCTATTACCTAGATGATGGAGGATACCGTACGGAAGAGTGGTATACCCGGGGAGGAAGACGACCCGGTCAGTTGAGGAATGAAGGTTTTAGGGAGATCCACGTGGAGCATCAACCGATCTATACCGAAATACAACCTGACAGCGAGGTGAGTAAAAACAACAGTGAAGAACCTCTTTTTCCAGGCCTTCTCGTTAGCCTGAATTATTGTGCCTCATTATCGTGCCAGTCGGCGCAAAAACGGAGATCAACGTCGGCGTCAAGCAAATAGTTTCTTTTTTCTCCTCGACCCTCAATCGGCTTCAAAATTCACTGTTTCCCTTTGTGCCAGTCGTTAAGTGCTTAATGTTTATTTATTATAGACGACAACAATTTACCTCACTTTCACCTATCCACTTTGGACAGAAAAACGCAATTCTTTATGGTTGTAATTTGCCATGGATTATCTTAATTACATACTTTTAAGCTGTAATTCTAATTAAAAGTTTGGAAGTGTGGCTGGTCTATTGTTGTTAAACGTTGTTACATGGTTCTTTTTTCCACTGAGAAAGCTTCAAAGTAATTTTGTACTCATTCTTCTTGTTTCCCATGTTAAGTTTCAGGGAGTCAGGCACAGCCGGATAATCTGAGAACAAGTTATTTTCCCCTGGAAGAACACAAAAATAATTTTCCTGGCAATGCAGTGGTTTAGATGCGGTCAAGAAACAACGTTTCTCCTTTGAATGAGATCTTTACAAGAAAAAAATGCAAGATCATTTGAATTTGGGTCTCTAGCATTAGAATACCTTTGAAACGTCACTTTGAGAAATGATTGTGCGCAATCTTTTTCCCGTTGTGAAATAATTGCTTCTTACTATATTTAATTAAATTTGTGCTTTTTCTAGAGCAAAAAGCTATGAAATGAATGCAAAAACTAGATTGCAACATATTGCAGACTATCAAGGTGCACGTAAATTCCCCTTTTGTAATACAGTTTAAGAAATAGAAAACGTCTTTCAGGTTTCTATCAAGTTTTAAAATAAATCTACTAGCGTTCTATCACAAATGTTTTTCTTTTATTGGCTACGCTACTCACCATCTTTTCTGTGATAGATAGTGATCAGTAGCGTAGAAGCATGCCCTTGTTAACAAAATGACGGCGACTTCCTGGCTTTTTTGAAGTGTCTGTGGAGAGGATTTAGATAAAGGTTTGAACAACTAGTAGATTTATGCTAAAACAATTACATTATTCGCTCTCGATTTCTATGCGTGATAGTTGACTCGGGCTGCGCCCTCGTTAACTATTTAACAAATAGATTCCATGTTGCCGTGCGTCTGTTCAGTAATAGATCACAGATGACGTCAAAATGCGAGAATAACTTGGCTTATTATATAAAGCGCGATAGAAATCTCGAGCTCATAATCTAATTGTTTAGTGGACAGTGCGTAGCCTAGCATTGTGTGATCGAAGTGTCTTTGAAGAGGACATAGATCATTTACTAGTCGATACTGAAACAATTAGATTATTCGCAGCTACGTCCTCGTCAACTATCACGCGATCGAAATCTGGAGCTTACAATCTAATTGTTTAATAGAAATAGGGGTGTTAGTGTGTGAGAACACAAGCTGAGCTTTCTTATAAGGTTTTTTCTTAATAAATACATGGATAAAGCAGAGAGAGAGGAAAAAAGGGTGTGTGGTTTTTTTAATCAGTGAAAGCTATTATCCAAAATGTCGCTCTAGAGAACAAGTATGGTTTAGTACCCAACATCTAGGCATGCGTTTGTAAATTGTTGAGGCCAATGTGTTGTTCATCTGGCATCCAGAAATCACATTAACATGACGAACTGTGGCAAGTACTTTCAAATACGTTGTTCTTAAATTAAGAGTTCAGGAACTATTCGATTAAATCAGTTACAAATACTCTGCTTAGATGGAACATGTTTTGCTGATCTATTGGATTCGGTATCACATCGCATTTATAATGCAATTTATAGTTTAAATGTATTGATAGAAGTTTTGTTTTATTTGTAGCTGTAGAATGTATATTTTTCCTTGGAATAAATCGGGTGTTTATGATCGAAGTAGTATGATTGGCTGTCTTTTATCCTTTATATTTCCTTCTGCACCCTGCCTTTCTATCCTCCGTTTTCCTCCCTTCTTGCTTCCTCCGCTGAATAGTGGAAATACCTGTTAAGCACTGATATACAGTAAAAACCAGCGGATATATATCTGCACTCCCAAAGAAGCTGCACCCGCAGATTGGCAACTCAACTTCATCGAAAGCAACTAATTAAAAAAACCCTTTCCAATGAGATACGGCAATTAACCCAGGTCACTTTTTTAAAAAAACTAAGCAATCAGCTTACAGCTAAGTTGATAATTACAGTGAAACGACTACAAGCAACTTTTCTCTCTTAAAAGAAAAAATCAACCGCATGTTCGAGTAACAAGTGGATTATTTATATCGTATATCAAACCTCTGTGCGACTTTTTTCAATATCTTCTCAAAAGAAATCATTTCTAACAACACCAGATGAAAGTTTTTTTTAAAGTTCATATGAAACACCTGGAAGTACTGGTGAAATTAAACTCGGATGATGAAATTTTACCTGTGTTTGCTCAATTTCTCTGAAAAATGTAATTTATTTTTCGAGTTTTCATGGAAAATTGCTTGTGGTGATATCTCAGGCAACTATTCATATCTTAAGCTTGTAGAAAATACAAAAAGGACTGTAATATGCTTAAAATTATTCTAGTATAAGGTTTTTGTCCACTTAAAACTTTAATCGCTGGATTTCCTATTGGAGTTTGTCTTCATCTTATTTCCCTGATGGTATAAACATTGTCCAAGGCTGACTGGTGTTTCAATCAACCTCTGTAATTATAAAGTGGCCTTAAGGTGGCTCCATAGGGTAATCACTTATGGCGTTGCGCGCGCAAGTGTTATGTTTTGAATGCCGTTTTTGCATTCGTTTTTACACCCAGTTCTCTCAAACTAATTACAAGTAATAAGCAATGATTAAGTAGTGTTTAACTATTATCTCTGTTAAAATTATTGGTTTTAGTCTTGAATTATAAATGCCCAAACAAATATGTTTTTTTACTTTTTTCTGGCTTTTACTTGCGATTTTATTGAATTTCCTTCGGTGAAATCTTCCCAAATTTTCACAGCATATCGCTTCCTGCGGAATACGAATTTTAAACACGAAAAAAGTAGGGTTTGGAAAGGCAGGTTTTTCGATTCTTGCAAATTTACGTCTTTTACCGCTGCGAGAAAACTGGTCTTATAGATTTTCCTGAAAAACGAGCTCCGACTAAAGTAAAACATTTACTACCAATCTGCCAAGTTTTACGGAATTTCACCGAAGGAAACGCGAGAAAATTCACTGTCAGTTTTGCTTGTTGTGCTCATATTGACGTAATAAAATATCGAAAAACACTGACGTTTTCCTTCGAGCGCGTGCAGATTACTTGAGCTTTCGTCGTCAGCGCGCGTGCGATCGTAAAACTATAGGGAGCCACCTTAAATCATTTCTAAACTTCAGGGCGGGAAAAAGGTAATAAGCTTGCGCGAGATTTTGCCGCGCGCCAGGCTCCAAATTTGAAAATATGGCGAAAATTTCGTCGATCGTATGCCTTCCCAATTTTTCCGAAAAGCGGCAACATTTTAACGTCTTTAATGGAAAGCTTGTGTGTTGTGTTTGTGAGGAATCAATTTTCTCCGGACTAAATTAATCTAAAGAAGATTTCCGAATCCTTTATTTCCTCGCGGTATACAAGAAATTTCGATGCCAAGACACAGTTGCATATTGCACATTGCACATTAATTTTGCATATTTGCACTCGAGCTCTTTGCATATTGCATCCATTTAAGCACACCACTGAATGTATAAGCAAGAGAGCCTCTCACCAGGCATGGGAGCCTTGTTTTCTTAACAGTGAAATGTTGAAAAAAAATTCACGCTTGTCCAAATATAAATAAATCAACCGAGCGACATCCTCGCGTAGCTTATTAGCAGGCCGCCATTCTATCCAACCAATGTAGCCTGCATCATTACCTGAGCCCACAAGCAGGGTTACGCATTCGCAAAAAGCTGCGCAGTACGTTTTTTCTGCTCTGGATTTCTGAACATGTTTTCTGAAGACACCTCTTCGAAAGATTCAAATCGGCCGCCATATAAGCAAGCTTAGCAGCCGCCCCTTTAATAGCGCAGCTTCGGCGCCAAAGAGAAGGTGGACCACATTTAGCGATATCTATATCCCGAATGACAGAAACACCCCCTGCAACCAAGTACTGAGTCTAGGTACGTCACAAGCTACATAAACTAATTTATTTTGGTAAAATAAATTCCCTATAAAACAGTGAAAAGTATGACAAAGTATCCTGTTAGGGACTGGTTTTGACTATAGAAGACATGTAATAAACTCGCTTGGAAAAGAATAAAGGAGCGATGGACTAATGGCATGTTGGACTCGGGATTGACAAGTCCTAGCTTAAGCCATGTCCGGGAACATCTTGTTGGATCATTTCATCGTGTCGTTTCCGTAGGACAGCTCAATTTTAACTGCCGCTCGTACTACGGGCGCAACCACCGTATGCAAGGTAACAGACGACGATCATTGGTAAACATAATCTACTGCTTGAAATGAATCGCAAGAGAAAATAGATATTTTATATCCCGGGCTGCAGTCATTATTGGGAAAAACTGTGCCCAAGGTCTTGAGCATTGCGGCCATGGGCCAAACCCAAGGCAGACGGCTATCTTAAACAAAAAAAGATTGGTTATCAAGCAAGTACGGGTTATCCTTTACTCCAATAAACGCCACGCCGTTGAATAACACTGATACTCGCTGACTGGTTGATGTCGCGTCGCTACCGAGAGGGGAAAAACGAAAAAAGTCACTCAACACTTAACAAACCTATTTCCTGCGCGCGGGTAGCACGAGAACTCGCGAAGAAGCAAAAATTATCACCGAGTGGTCGGATTTGAGATTGTAGAGTTATGCACAATATACACTCACTCCCATATTGTATAGTTTAACTTTAAGCTTTAATTCGTTTCTTTCAATAAGCGTAAAATGACACCATTACATGGTATTCCTTAAGAACTGCAACTTGAACAGATCTAATTTTATGCTAATATACTATAAAATGGTCGAATAATTAATGAAGCATCAACTATCTACAAAATTAAACAGTTCAAAACTGAAATAAAGCTATAATTATTTATTTATCCTTCGCTTGCTTCTGAGAGCTCGCTTGTCATCCAACCTCGAACCCAGGTCCTCCTCATCACCAGATTTAAAAAACGGTGGCTTTGAGATTCGCTCGCTTTTGTCTTTTTATGTTATCGTAAAGAACCTCCTATGTCATTGACAGTAAGTAACCGATGCAAATTGGAAACTTTGTGGTATCTTACACAAAGTACGTGATGTCCAGAAGGGAGTGTATCACGGTTACTTGACTGACTCTGTGTATTACCCTTCATGACTATAGCATTGATTTATGACACTGGTACAATCCTTATGATGCCAACCACTTGGGTTCCATTAATAGCGTTTCTAAATATTTCTTTTCTTTTACTTTGTTGGAAATAAAACCTGATATCTAAGTCGACCTATTCACCTTCCAGTGCGACACGCTATAATTAACTACACTCCATGTCAAAACAATTCGATTGTTTCCCCACCGCAAAACTCAACAGCTTAGATCAACTTGAGTGTCTTGAAATGAGTGGAGAACTTACGAAATACGTGAAAAAAAACAAAACAAAACAAAATAGTTCCTCCAAGGTAATTAGCTAAAAGCACAGATTGAAGTTGTCCGTGTATTTCTTTTCCGTTTCCAAGATGTGTTGTTATTTCTCGTCCTTTAAGATCCTCAAGGTTTGTAGCTGAGTATATTCCCCTAAAAATCGACAAAAATGCAACAATTAATACCTAACTTACAATCCATTGTAATAAAACTAAAAGTAGTTTTATGGTTGCGTCTTTTCTCTATCAGTCATATTACCTCGTAAGACTAGACAACGTTTTGAGTTCAACGCTTTCCAATTGTGTCAAAACGTGAAAAAATGTTTATTCTAAACACCCTCTAATGGTAAAATGCGCACCATTTTCTCTCGTCCTGAAAATTGCATTTTCCCGCTTTACAAAGTATTACTAACCGCGTCATCGAAGCGTATTTCAGCGTATGGCGATTCCTCCTGCACTTGGAATTCCCTAAATCCTTCCTCTCTCAACTGAACGGGTCCTTCTTCCCCCACGGCAGTCCACTGTTCCCTGCGGCATACCCCGTTGTCCGTCGTGAAAGTGATTTCCTGTTCCTGTAATCCGTAAAGTTGACTCGATCCCCGAAGGCTATTCGGTGGCTCAATGCCTCCGATAGCAACATCTGCTGTTCCCATTGGGAAGCCCCCATTGGCCCCATTTAAACGTTCCCTGCTTGTTTGCTTCATCCTCATGTAACCGTCCCGACCCAGCTCCCCACGTACAGTATTTTGAGCCGACCCAGGGCGTTGTTCAAACATGCCATAATCGATGGTTGCCATCTCGTCAGCGCTTTGGGAACGTTTCAGTTCTGCTCGGTTACGATTTTGAGGCAGGTCGGACGGTTCTATCAGCCAGTCTTCCGATCTGGAGAAAAAAGATTGCGCAAGTTAATTACACTACACCCTTTTAGTTCTTGCGGTAGCTTGTCAGTGGTCAACGAGTAAAGCATCACTCTTTCGTATAAAGTCATCACAGAAGAGCGATCGCTATCACATGGTGTCAGTGGCGGATCCAGGGGAAGGGCCCGGGGGTGCCGGGGGGCCCGCCCCCTTCCCCCTACTTCGGGTAAAAAAAAAGAAGAAATCACAGAAGGAAGAAAAGATTAACGTAGATTAATTTGTTAACGCACCTGTCAAAGGCTCCGTTGCTGAGGCCAGAACTGTTCCTTCTTGAATTAACGTACCGCGCTCCGGAATCCGCCCCAGCAGCTAGCACAGATGCAGCGGTTTCGCTCTTGACCCGTTTCCGTCTCTCAGCAGATCTGTACCCTGTGTCAGCTGGACTCATAGTCATCATGCTTGAGCCTTTTTTGACGGGACCGACTTCTTCCGAATATTGCGGAGTCTCTGAATGCACGGTGTCAGCGGTTACATTGCTGTCTTGCGACTCCTCAGTTTCAATACCGAACTGGATGACTCCTGAAAATAGAAAAGTAAACGATAAAGTAAGCATCATTTAAAGGTTGCCGCAGATAAATTACAGTAACAGAACTGAGTGAAGTCCAATTTGGAGATTTCTAGGAAGGTGTAGAAATTACATCCTGGACACCAAAGGCAGATATGGTGGTATGGAGATGGTTTTATTGTGGCGGTCCCCGGACCGAGAATTTTGACTGTACTTTCAAATTGACGAAAGGCCTCACAATGATATTTTTTAAGGTAGCAAACACTAAACTAGGATAGTTAAGAATGAGGAAAGCGCAGGAATATTAAACAGTAATACGAACAACAAACTGAATTTGAAAACGTTTGCCAACTTTTTCAACATGTCCCTTATGTGAGATAGCTCTTCAATTTTGCTGCCCATTAATTTTTATACCTGACGGTTTAGGGTTCTCATTGCCCATCTCTACGGTCACCTCCTGTATTTCGTCTTCAGGGACAGCTTGTACACTGGACACGATATCCACTGCTGGTAACCTCCACCTTTTGTCAAGATCTTCAATAAGATACCCGTCCGTGTCATCAATCCACGTATGTCTGTAGGCAGTCAGACCTCTTCTCTTCTTTCCCCTATTAAACATGTAAGAAAAAAACTCAGTGAACTTTTGAAAGGGTATAAATGAATCCCAGCAAATCCGTCCTACAATGTTTTCTTAGTGGCTTTTTAACTTCTGCATTGCGACGACAAGGGCATTTACGGTGCATTTCTTTGAAATGATCCGGACCAAAAAAATGACCCTAGAGCACTCGGATCACGGATATGTCTAGAATTCCACGCTAATGAGACACAAGCTCAGATGCTAAGAATCGCAGTGTCCGCATTCGTAAAACGTCACCAAAATACACTTTGTCCAATTTGAAGTAATATGAAAATGACACTTTGGTCGTGTTTTATTGGAATCAACCGTTTCTGGTTGGTTTGGTTTCTTGGGTTTTTGGGTGCTCTATTGAGGAAAAACCGTTTTCGGTTGGTTCGATTGATCAGCTTTTTAAACCGGCCTCACACCAGGTTGAAACGGTTGAAAGAGCATTTGCATGATCATGGCTCGTGATTGTAACTCCCAGGAGTTGCCGTGTTTCAACTGAAAAACGATTCAGGGAAAAGTGTTCTATTGAGAAACGTCAACCGTATCAACCCAAACCAGTTGCGGTTGAAACAGTGATCCCAATAGAACACGATCTATTTTATGCTTGTCATAAAAAGCATGCAGCTCATTAACGTTCAATCCTGGACATAACTCGGTCGGATCAAGGTGCATCATGGGAACCGAAGAAGCCTTACCCAAAGTGGATTCACTAATTCCTTTAGTGTGCTATATGCTCCGCATGACGTGTAATCCTGGATCAGAAATGCTGATCCAGGGCATCCCAAAGAAATACACCCTGAAAGGAGCTACGACACGGTTTGCGCGTCTAGAAAACTTAAGACTACATTTTTCAAGTTCTTTGTTTGTAATCCGTGTTTATCTTCCCTATCCATCACCATCCTTGTCTCTTCATGGTTTATTATCATCTCTTTGGTGTTTTTCTATCTAAGTAAACTTTCAAATTTAAAGATAATTTTGGACATGCCCAAAATAACTCAAAATGCCGTGACTGAGTTCCTTGAACTACAGTGAGGTACGTGACTTCTACAACTAATAAAGAACTTTGAAGTCAGTTAGTTCGTAGAGCTGATTGGCTTTCCCCGGAGCAAGTGACTTTTATTGTAAATTAATTGATAATAGTCGAAAAGCTCAAACAGAAAACGGAAATTGACCCTCTTACGCTCATGTTTGTCATTAATTACAGGTGAAAATTATCGACATCTCTTTACCTGCCACAGCAAACATGCCAGCAGCAATAATAACAACAGGCCATGAGAAGGAGGAAAGACAAGATTCCAGCTAATATCCACAAAGCAATCACTGTTAAAACAGCAAAAAAGACATATGTTGTAAGTTAGAGCAACGAACTACAATAAAATCAACGATAAATAACTAGTCCAGTCACACTATACTAGTTCCGCCGAATGTACATGGCCAAGCGGGGTGGCCCACATAAATTATCAGGGTCAACAAGGGGGCGTTCCGACAGATCCAAACATTAGAACAATTGATATGAAGTCAGAAAACGACGCGAGTCTGAAAAATTTAAATGTACTTACATATTCCTATTTCTGTCTTGTCTCCTGGGTTGAAAAATTCACCTTCCGTGGGCCCGCCTACAAAAAAATGATTGAGAGAATTGAGTGGAATTAGGTTCACAAATCCCTTTTGTACAATTTATCTCGTTAAAAATACAGTCCATACCCAGGCTCAGTGGACATTGGTGAATATTCACCTCGACTTCGTCTCGGTGAACACTCGCCAATGTTCACTTCGCCTTTGGCGAATAATTGTTAAGTATTAACAATGATATCGATACACTTACTGGTTTTTGTACATCCAAAGACCGAAGTCTGCATACAGGGTTGCTCCGTAAAATTAATAGGATGGAATCGTATGAAACGCGTTGTAACGTTAACATCGTTATATACGACGGTCCCTGGATCTGTGTTAGCATCGAAGTCCTAAAGAAATTTAAATCATGTGTAATAATTAATTGTGTTGGGATTTTTCTAATGTTATAAAAGGTTGGTTCTAGATAAGTTTTAGTTCCTTGGGTGAAACGATAGCGTATGGCCATTTAAATGAAAGCTATTGAGCAATCCTTTCTTGTGGTACTGTTTATTATGCTGTACAAGGTGGCTCTAACGTTTACATCTGTGTATGAAACCTTAGTGTGTGACTATTCAAATGAAAGCTATTGAGCAGTACTTTCATGCTGTACAAGTTAGTTCAAACTTTTAATTCTACGTTTGGAACCCTAGTGTGTGATCATTTAAATCAAAGCACTACTCTTGAGTAGTACTTTCACGGTATTGTTTATTATGCAGTACAAGCTGGATTTCACTTTAAAGTTTATGGATGAATCCCTTGTGTGTTGCCATTCAAACAAAAAGCTGCTAAGCACTAATTTCAAGTGGGGCTTAAATTTACGGTTATGTGCTTTAGCCCCTAAATTTATCGACCGCACCTTTCGTTGTCCACCTCCCGGGAAGACACTGTAGCCAAAGCCATCCAAACTGCTCGAGATAAAGAAACTGGTCACCCAGCGTTCCTGACTTGCCAACTCCTGGCCTTTAGTGGCGATACGGAAAACTTCAACGACTTCTCCTGGGAATGTAGCGATCAACAGCAATTGAATACACTACTAATTAATTCCTTTACTATAGCAACAAACAATCCATAATTTAACATCTTGTACCTAAATCAATCTGGACATATGCCACGCCATTTTCAAGATCATCTGGATTTGCACACCAGGCTCTCTGGGATGCACCGGGATTAGAAGTGTTCAGTCGAGCCCACGATGCTGGCTGGGCAGGGGATGAGGTCTGATAGGCTTGATCTGGGAAAGGGCCTCTTTCTTCGCAACCTGTCGATCAAAATCGGGAACGGTGTTATAGTGTACTTGCAACTCACTCTTAAGTAGCCCCCGGGTGAGGGTATCAATGAGTTTCGTCATCAAAATTTTGGTTACATGTGAGGTGTCTGGATGTCTTAAAACACAAAACGGGTTTAAAAATTCAGCAGTTGTCACCCACTCTTAAACTAACCATAGGTTACTTTGACTTCTCCTTGTTTTATCACTTTACACTAAATTCCAGTTATGTAACCAAACCTTTTGCTACCGGTCGCTTAAGGAACAGTTAGTTATATTTTCCCTCGAATCTCAAAGTTTCCCTGGACTTGGAAACATGGAGATTGGAAGGAAAACAAAACTTTTTCCTATGGGACAAGTGATCAAGTGTATCATACTCCACCACCGCAGTGAGGCGGCCGCTATTTAAATCGTTCACGCAGTTTTACTTTACTCCCGAACAGTTGTCACGTGATATCGTAGTCTCGTTTTGAAAGTGAGGTCACGTACCTTGGCAGTTTTCCGTGTTGCATTCTCTAGATTCCACTACGGAACCAATACAGCCCAGTCTTGACTTGACACAAACGCGTGTGCGTCTCTGAGTCCCTGCCACGCCACCCGAGCGACACGACTTTGTGCATGGAGTCCACTCTCCCCACTGAGAAAATCCGGCAGCTTAAATTTGACAAGTTAAATCAATTTTTAAATAATAGTTACATGACTTTACTGCGTTTCCTTTTTTGTTGAATTGTTGTTGTTTGTTTGTTTGTGTTTTTGTTTGTTTGTTTGTTTTTCCTCTGTGAAAATCGGAAGTCTGAGGGACTAACAATGCATTAGTTAAGGTAGTCCTTTGTGGTCGATAAAACAAAATTCGCCGATTAAAAGCAGCTGAATAAAACATGTCCTCAGTGGGCACGCTTAGTTCGTCCCAGCGAAAGGAACTTCTTTCAGCCAAATTTTCTTGCTCGTAACAAAGCCCTACACAAAATGGTGAAGTGTCTTTTCAAACCGAACGACAGCCAATCAAAAGCACTAAACGGTTCTTTGTCAAGCTAAATCATTAATATGAAATTTTTTGAGTTGAACCCCAGACGTGTCTCAAACGGGGGAAAGAATTGAGTGCCTGTTTTCTTAGGCTAGTAGTCTGTGGGTTACTAACACCCAACACATTCAAGAAGGGCCTGTTAAGAATTCATTGTGACTGCAGTATTGAAGGATTAGGAAAGTGAATGAAGATGTATGAAGGCTTACTACGGTAAATAATTGTGTATGGAGAAATATGAGGATATATATATAAGGGTTATTGACCAAGCTTGTTCGGTCAAGATGGCTGGATATTGGCCAAATTCTTTTTTTGCGTTTTCATGAACCGAGACGGAGTCGAGGTCCCTAAACTCGCAAAAAAAGAACGAGGCCAATATCCAGCCATCTTGACCGAACAAGCTTGGTCAATAAAGGATTTATTATGTGGCCATCGGGGGAATTTTTCTTGCGGGGCGCAGCGGGTAGTCCCGAGCGGGCAAGATAGTTCCATCTTGCCCGCTCAGGTAGACAATCACAGCACAGGATTTGATTCATCTTGCCCGCTCACCCCGCTCACGGAGCTAGCTATATAATAAGAAGAAGCATACAGGAGGTATGCAGGCAAATGAAGCTGCATAAAGGTGTATGAAGGATTAAAACGGTAGATGAAGAATGAAGGTAAATAAAGGTGTATTTACAACGAAGCAGAAAAAAAGAGAACTCTTACTTTTTACACTGATGAAAATTGCGTCGATGATTTCCTTTGCCAGTTCAACCGGTGATTTGTTAACTCCAGCGGTGATGATATGTCGTGGATCTTTGGTAATTATTTCAAAATCTGTCGAGTTTGTGGAATTTCCAATACCGACACCAATTACAACAACATCCTGGTTATCCAGATCTGTCACAGCTCTATTCACATCGTCCACGTTATCTACCCACTGATTATCCATAATAACAACAAGGAAGCGTCTGGCATCTGGTCGCACGGCCGCTGATTGATACACCTTCTTAGCGTCTTCCAGAGCCAAGACTAGGTTTACGGGTCCAGCCAGTTTATTAAGCCTCGCAACAATGCGTATTAAAGTTGCTTTAACTGGTATGTTGGTGCCGAAATCTACGCGTGTCGTGGAAACGGAACCAAAGACAATCACGCTGTAGTGAATTCGGAAGATGTCATACTTGGAGACAATGTTGTTAATTGTAGTCTGCATTAGCATAAATGTGCTATCCGCTGATATTGATGTGGCACTGATTGCAAAGGTCAGGTCGATCAATGGCATATTAACTAATTAAAGCAAATAAGAACAATATATGCTTAGAAATGCTAATAATCTCTCCAGCCTGGGGTGGAAACAAACAAACGAAACCAAGACCATATTGCTAGTCACAACGAGTTAATTGAGATATCACCGTAAATGGTAAATAAACTTTCACCTGGCGCTAAGTGCGGGAGAACATGCACTGATCTGATGCTTAGCGCGGGAAAACCAGCTCCTCGTGCCAAACGCGTGAAAACTTGCACTTGGTGCCATGCAAAGCGCGGGAAAATGCAGATTTGCCAAATCAAATGAATTGCTTCTTAATCGAAAAATCCCAGCACGTTTTCTCTGGTGATTAAATCAAATTGCATGAGTCTTTTGCAACCAGATACCAAGTTTTGGCAGAATTAAGCTTCCGTAACGTTAAATGTGTTGTCTGTCTGAGGGTGCGTTCATGGGTGGGTGTTGTTATTCATCAGTATGTGTGTAGTAGTAGCAATCATGAATACCGAGGGATTCTTTGTTACCTTCCAATGCTTTCTTTATAATGGTCTCCGCTATAACAACTGATCTAACAGTGGTGAAGGTTGGAATACCAAGGAAGTCAATCTGGGTGATTGTTACTGCATTTAGGCCATCTCCAGTGTTATTCACAGAGAAAACAAGGATGCCTTGTCTTCTCAAAGCGTCACCTGCGCTAGTGAGCTCAGTGTCATTGTCGCTTATTGCAGTATCCGTAATAGCAATGAAAACTCTCTCAGCAAACGGCCTCCTAGTAGGGTGCGATTGGAAAAGTCGTTCGGCTTCCTTCAACTCTTGGGTAAGATCTATCGGACCGGGGTTATCGTCCGCAGTTGCTGCAAGGCCATTCAGGTCGAGTGCACTATCCTGGTCAAATCTGAAACTCGTAGCGACTTTGCTGCCGTAGATGATGACGCTGTATTGGACTTGGCCAGGTCCATACCGATGGTTAATCGTGTCTCTGGTTTCTGTCATGACAGTCAAGATGGCGCTTGAATTGATTTCGCTGGCCCTGATGGCAAACCCAACGTCGATCATAGGGATAGTACCTGAGGATTGAAATAAGAATTTTCAAAGCTATGGCTGTGAATGCCGCATACACACTAGTTATGTAACACTTTCTCGTGGTATATCATGGAATATCCCACAAGTCACTTGTATCCTCTTGGTATACTCACGAGCCCTTGAGTGAGTGTGTATACCAAGAAACTGGGACTTTCCATGGTATAACACGAGAAAACGTTGCATAAGTAAGTTATACCAAGCCACAGACAATACGGTAGCCAACACAATCAAAGCAACATGCGCGCAGCGAGCGATGAGAAGGTTGGGTATAATACCATCGAGTATATAAGGGCTTTTCTGTATCCTGATTGGCCGAATTTGCTATGGCACGGTATAAAATGTGATACCGACGTTACGAATAAGGATCGTATCGTACTTAAGTGGAATATTACAATTAAAAGCAAAATATAAAAGCGTGTGACGGCTTAAGCCTCTCTATCGAAGCGAGGCCTTGTGCACAACTAATCATTTGAAAATGAGTTTAATTTGCATGTGAGTGAAATCTCATTTCCATCTAAAAATGATAGGCACCTAGATTCGCTTTAAGAAAGAGGCTTAAGGTTATTCAGAAATGGCCCATTGAAAGTTCAATTTATGTCTTACGTCTCAATATCCTCTCCATTATGCGGTCGGCCAACACTCTCGGGTTTTCACCCAAAGCTGGAGATATAACGTCCAAGGGATTAGGCGAGATGACGCTCAGCTCATTCCTGTCCACAGCGCTCCCTGCCCCTACAGAAAGCACCAAAACTCCGAGGTCCTCCACCGGCTTCACCGCTGCAGACAAAGAGTTCGAATCTGCGCCAGAATTTTCATCTGTCATAACTAGCAAGACCTTCTTAGCATCAGGACGTCCTTCTGTCTCGTTAAAGACCTTGAAAGCTTCTTGCAATGCATCTTCGGGGAATGGTCCTCCGCTTATGGGTGGCTGGGCATCAATGGCCGCTTTCAGTTCACTTGCATTGGGGGGAAAGGTGTGGTTGAAATTGACAACCCTCACGACTGAGTTTCCGTAGACCATGAGACTGTAATGGATTTTATCGACGCCATATTGGTCAATGAATTGTTTAATTGTGTTTTTCATTAAGTCGTATGACTGGTTGGAGTTAGCTGAGGTGGCACTGATGGCGAGCGCAAGATCGATATTTGGCATGTTGGGATCTGAAACGAAGAGAAAAGGACCAGGGAAAATCAGTCCTCGTGAAAGTAACAAATTTTACTAATACCTTCCAGGACAACGCATAATATGTTATATCAGGGAGATCCTAAACTACTGTACAAAAAGAAAAATGGTATCAGCATGAAAAAAATTAATTTCAATAATCCGTGTTTTAGAGGAAAAATAAACGTTTTTGAAAACACTGAATTTAAAAAAAAACAAAAAACCTTAACTTCTGCTTCGGATGGGTTGTCGTTTTGGTTCAATTGTAACAGTCAAAAACTGCAAAAATTGTTGGATTATTAATATCATGAAAAAATCGTATAAAAATTAAAGCAACTTGCCTACGCAAGGTCCATTGTTACAATCCACTGTTTCCAAGTCTGGTCCCGGACAGTCCTTTCCGCCACCTGAGGGGAGTGGGTTGCTACAAGCTCTTGTTCTGTTTTGCTTTCCTGGTCCACATTGCGCATGACAGGGAGAGTAGATCCAATCAGTCCATCCACCATCAACTGCCGGGGAAAGGGAAGGAACACTAATTGCAGTCGTTAGCTTCAGTAAAAACACTATATATAATGCATCCCTCCATCCACTATGCCTTGCAAGATAGTAAAATGATGGCACTGGGCTCGAGGTTGAAACTCCCATCTTCGAGTGAACAAGACATCCGGTATGCTTACAAGTTTGACAAGGGTTTAGGTTTCCGTCAATCTAAAGGTAGTTTTGCACGTGGCCAAAATAACTCAGAGTATTGTGACTGAGCCCCTTTAATGAAGAGTCTGTTCGGAGTAGGCTGAGCATTAAGTGAGTTGAAGAGCAGGGAACACACGCAGTAACGTACTAGCCCCTAAACGTTTGGGAAGCTTTCCTTCTGCTTATTACTCATACACGTTTTTCAAAAGTTAAGGCAGGCACTAGTAACATATATATGGTATTAGTTAGGAGAATCGTCGGCAGTATTACCTACTGGCGGCTGTGCGGTTGCAGTTGGGGATGGTGTTGTAACTAAAGGGAAAAAAATTTTGATAACAGTTAATGCAAACTAATATATAATTATCCTAATTAGATGCCAGCTGATCGTATAGATAGCCATCGTCAAAGCTAGTACATTTTGTTTTTTCGTAAACCTCTCTCATGGATAAATTACAAGAGCACTCTTTTTATTTAGAAAGAAATGGAAAACCCTTTTTTCTTTCATTTTCATCAGCCATGTTTTTCAAAAGGGTGACGCAAGTTGCTTAGCTTTCTCGTTCTATAACATGATAACGCATCAGATGTTAATTCATCCGCGATCTTACAACTCAAGGTTTAAATCAAAACCGTCACTCGCAACAACCGACTAAGACAATTGACATTAATTCTAGGTACTATTTTTGCTTAGGCAAACATTTTATACTGTTGGAGAGGTAATAAAATAGATAAGTCTAACTAACCTGGGCAAAGCTGTTCTAAGCAATCTTTTGTCATAGTTCCTGCACCAACACAATCTGCCCCACCATAAGCTGGAGGGGGGTTGTCACATGCACGTGTTCGAGTTGACGTCCCATTGCCACATGTTTCACTGCAGGGAGACCAGGCACCCCAAGAAGACCAATTCCCGGGTACTGTAGAGAAACAAAGTAAAAGAAAAATGTAGAAACGAAAGACTTTTTTAACAGTTACGAAGCTGTTATAAGGAGGGGCCAGAGTAAAAGAGAGATTTCTCAACAGAGCTCGAATTTTTGACGGTCATCAGCGATATAACAGTGCGACGCTTCAACAAAAAAATACAAGAATGCAAGAACGCATTAAGAAAGACGAGCCATGGGTAAAGATCGAGCTACGAGCCGACGAGCGACCAGCGACCAGCGACGATGAACCACGAATCAAGAAACGATGAAAAACGAGCGGAGAACCACGAAGGTCGAGAAGTCGTCTATAAGGTAAGTTCTTCCAGTATATCCTGTATTATTCTCTTTCACATTCTCTATTTAAATTTATATAAATGTTGATCAGTTCAAGGATATCGTTCAGATGGGTTTAGCTTACCTGGACAATGCTTAACAAAGCAGTTCTTTGACTCCATTGATGGCCCAACACAATCTGCCCCGTTATTTTGTGGCATGGGGTTGTTACACTCTCGTGATCGATACTCTGTCCCATTTCCACATATTTCACTACATTGAGACCAAGGGCCCCAGTCAGACCAATGTCCATCTACAGGGACTACAGTGGAACAGAGAATATGAACAAAATCAATATCAAATCAAATGTACTTAACAGATGACTGGGATAGAAAACTATTTAAGAGATAATAATCAAGGCAAATGGGCTTAGGATGTTTAAGACTAGGCGAAAATGAAACCGATAAGGAAGATCAAACTAAGAAGGTAAAGCTTAAGATTTTGGAATGTACTTGTCGTTTTTTATCCTCATAAACGCACTGAAAGAAACTGGCTCTAAATAATGATATTTTCTACCACTTACTTGACTGATCGTGTATTAAAATTTCTTTCGAGTAAACACTGAACAGAACTTACCAACACAATTGTTGGTGGGACAAAGTTTATCCGTTCCCGAGGGACCGTTGCAGTCCATGCCACCAAAAGCAGGTGCAGGATCTGTACAAGTCCTGGTGCGAGTCGTGACGGAATCTGCGCATGGCGGGCACGGAGTCCAATCAGACCAGTCAGTCCAGCCGCCATCAATGGCAGGAGGTACTAAGAAGTGCAACAAAAAACAAAGACATGATTTTCTTCTCAATTTACGAACGCTGCATCTTCTACCGTAAATACTTTAGGTGCTTTTCTTTGGAATCATCCCGATCAGGATAAACGATCCAAGATCGCTCAGTTTATGGTGCATCAAAGGAACTGATGAATCCACTCAGTCACGGCAGCCGTATTTGTGTTCCCAAAGAAATGAAAATTGCCTCCTTTCTGAAATAAAGTGTTTTTTTTCTTCTTCTTCTTCTTTTTTATCGAAAAGTGAGAGGTAAATGGACAATAATTGATTAAATATTATAATTTACCGTTTTGGCAGCTCAGTATGTCAATTCGCATACACATGTAATTTTCAAAGATATTCGAGGGTTCTCTTGGATTAAAAATCACATAACGGGCCCGCACTGGGGAGGAGAGGTTCTGGACAACCACAATATCGCCATCAAACCAAGGACCCGTAAATGCCTGAAAAAAATCAAAACAACAAAAACAGTTCAATAATAGAGGTGAGGGTAAAAGGCAAAAAAAGTCTCCAGAACGTTGATTGAATACTAATTCATTTGTTTTACTGAAATGTTTACCTGATTGCATTTTAATTTTTCATTGGATTTTGCTGACTTAAAGACCCTTTGCATAAATGACAGCGATATTTAAATAACAATACTGATGCAACCCAAGCCACACATTCATGTGAAAAAACCTTTGTCTGGAAACATTATGATGTACAATGTATTGTTATTCAAGTTTAGGCCCCATTTTTGCAAAGTGTCTAGGAGGTTTATGATTTTGAGCGTTAGCCTTAACGTCTATAATAATTATTAGTAATATAAATCTACTAGCGTTCTATTCACGAATGCTCTCTTACTGGCGACCGTTTTCATGCAATCAGCTGCGCGTAACGAATCGTACACTTGTAACCTCCCAAATGAATCGTCATGTGGTCTGAATTGCTTGGCAATAACGATGTCAACGCTTTAGCCGAATGATGATGATGATGATGATGATGATGATGATGATAATGATAATGATGACACTATTTCCATAGGGTGCATAATTCCAGTCAAGACTGTAGTCTGCCTTACGGCCCTATATATATAGGTTACAGTATGACTAATGCGTATAATGATGACAACTACTTAAAGTAAGCAGCAATTTAATTTCATTAATAGTAAGTTGACAAACTTTACCCTAAGACGATCCCCTCCAGCCACCGTAACCGTCTCATAAACGTCATCATCCTCACTTGTCTTCAAGTAATACTGGGCAACCGATCTGTTAGTACCTTTTTGTCCTTGTACGAAGACTTGATCGAACAAAAGTGAAAAGCCTTCGAAAACAAAATTTCAATTTTAAAAAAGTCAGCAGACACGAAAACGTTAGTATTAAAGCAACTGAAAACATTTCTTTTTAAGAAAGCTTTTGACTTGTGGAAATAGTTTTAAAGTTTTGCATAGTTGTTGTAATAGTTTTAAAGTTTAGTGATTTCCATTNAAGAATGTAAGTACAGAAACGTTGATACTTCCCCGTAGTTGAAAATAACACACACAGAAACACAAAGTTCGTGTTCAGATGGACGAAAATATACAAAATGGCACAATTTGCTTTGAGAGTGCGAGCTATATAAATGAAGAATATCTTTGTCTTTTCGCTAATTTTTCTGATACCTGTCTTATTCTTATAGCAAATCAGCTAGAAGTTTAAGTTCACTTCCTGCACAGTGCTTAAGTTGTTAAAAACTTGCTTCGTTTTGATACTACTGATAGTTTATCGGGAATTCAGACTCAATCTTGGTGGGCGTCAAAAAAGAACAGAACAGCAAAAAAAATAATTTGCCTTCCTCTTTTTTGACAGTAAGAATGCAACGTCTGTGATGCGAAAGAGCCTTTGGATGTTTGTACGACTTGAAAGAAGAAAGTTGGAAAATTCTGGAAAAATAAGGGCAAGAAAAAAATATAACAACAGCCTTACCTTGAGATACAGTACTTCTTATGTTTGATGATACGGTTGCAAACAGTAAAACTAACTGCCAACTCCAATGAAAGAGAGGCATCTTCGATTCCGTGAACTTTGCTTCTTGTTCGCACGAGGGATAATGTGAGCTTCTGTAGTGCTAAGCGTTCTTCTAATTTTGCCAATGTTGGTTACATTTCTTGCCTCTTAGCTAAGCGGCGCGGTTGCGAAGCTGTTACGAAACTGCACTCCACGCCCTAAAGTGCTATGACGTCACGATATTTCATATCAGAGCAACGAAATGAAGACTAGTCTCTCATTCATGGCGCTAGTTGCTGTTTGCAATACTTGGTTGCAATATTTGGTGGATCAAGCAGGTAAATTACGAGTGAATCACTAATCTGTCTTCTAGTATGACTCTAAAACATTCATCTTCTCTGTCGACTTCACCAGAGTGCTCTTTACAGCTAAACCGCAACTTCAATTGTACTTCCGTCGAAGAACCTCTTCCGTTTTAAGCCGAATTGATTTTTGTCTCTTGAAAATATCCGTTCGATCCCGGAATAAATTTGACTTTAAAGCCAGCAAATTCCATCTTAGACGTTGTAGAATCCATGCAAGTTTACTAGATTACACCCAAGGGAATTTGTTTGTTTTTTGAGTGCATATTTATTGTCTGATAAAAGTTGGACCATCGAAAATTTATTTGTGCATGCACTGAATATTTTGTCTTAGCTGTAAGCACTTCTGTTTCTGCTTTTGGAAATGAATTGGTTGTGTCTAACATAAATGGATCAATGCAATTGGTATATAATTGGCCTAAGCATTCTTAAACTAAAATTGTTACACCAAAACAATGCCTTGATCATTGATAACTGTTGCTTTCTTCAAAAGACAATAGAGTATAAAAACAAAAGATCAATATGACCAAATCAAAGATGAAACAAAAAAAATGGAATATAGAGAAATTTCTGCAGTAAGTCTAGAGATAAAGTTGTTATTTTTGCTGTGTCTGGAGGTATTTCGATCACTAAAAGCCTTATTAGAAAAAATTCTTGGCGTGAATTGATGTAACATGCGTTATTAGAAGAAATTCTTGTCGTGAAATGATGTAGCACACCTTATCGCAAGGAATTCTTTGCATTGCGTGAATTGATGTAAGATCGAATCAATATCATAGCAGCGTCAAACAGCAAACTCTCGTGGGAAAATGATAAGGCACGTATTTCTAATTTTTTTTTTTTCCACTTCTCTTCTCTCTGAACGATTTTCGGGTGTTCCTTTATACTATCATAGTCTTATTAAGAAGTTATAGCTAGAAACTTTTGTGTTTAACTTTTCAGTGTTGTTACTTTTCATCTGAGCTTCGTCACGCAGGTTCAAGTTGAAGAGACCCGTGGGAAAGTTTTCGCCGGCCATCTTCAAATGAGAAACGTGCAGTCTGCTTGAGGGCAAATTTCACGGACAATTGGGCTTGAGTACTTTCAGAAGCCTAATAACGCGGAAACATTTGAAAGAAGGTTGTAGACAAAGCCAACATATTTCGACAATAAATTGAAGGCAAACAATTGATTGGAATAAACTTTTTCATCAATAAAACAAGCTACTATATCATAAAAACAAATGTCACCTCCCGCCTCCTCCCCCCATGACTTGCACCTGTATTCCTGATGGTCTATTTGTAGTGACGAATTGACCAACAACTTGTATGTTATGAAACTGTTTACTATAAGCCTGAAGGGTACTTAAACGTTATGTATTGCTAAGTAAGGTTGATGGAATTACTGCTTCAAGCATGATTAGTTA